TGATGAAAAAGATCGAAACCAGAGATAAATAATCAGGCGGTATCTTTGCAAACATAGGCGCACGCTTTTCATCTGAAATTTGTCTTTTCTATTTTTGTCCTTCCAAAGTATGAATACACAGGGACGGAAGCAGGAATGTTTTGCATTACGAGTAATGAGGGTAAAAGAGACATGGGTCAGTTGGATCAGTATTTGGCGTTGTAGTCAGTAATTACAATACATTGATTTCTTGGTTGAGGAGGAGTGGTTAATGGGTTTACATCCCTGGAAGGTATTAAAATGCACCACCAGTACTTCTTGATTCCCATTCTTTACCGGATGACTGAAAATACGGGAAAATTTGGACACATTCCAGACTGTGATTGTTTTTTTCGTTCGAACTGGGTACAAAATTGGGAACTTTTATCCATATCAATGACAATTTAACCGCTATTTGATAAGTTGAATGAACGCGAACGACATCAATATCACATCAATCATATTTCAGTCTCCAGAGCGTCCGGGTCATTTTTATGATCTGGTTTTCTTAACCAGCTCAGTACAGCTCAGTACAGTACAGTACAATATAATGATTTCGATAGTTTAAAACGTGTGTAACGCACTTTCCCTATGATTATATGTCCGTTTTGCGGCTTCCACCCAGTATGTAACATTATGTCAATTAATCAATGAATCGGCTAATCGACTCACTTGTTGAACCATTCATAGTGTGAATGAAATCAGCAGAGTACTTACATTACTTAGCAACAACTACCAATTTCAAAAAAATGATGTTACTAATCGGCTATCCTTGCTTGTATTGGTTTTGTTATGATAACTTGCGATATTCTGAAAGTTGATAAAGTGGAATGCTGAAATAATCTCAAATAACTTCGTAATTAAATACGAGTTAGCTCTATGATATACATAGTATATGTGGGGCACGGAAACTAATATTAATAATTTCCCATGGCGGAACTACAATTTGGTTGCCTCGACAACCTTAACAACAAAGCCGATACATTTACATATCGTTGATATATAATGGTAACTAAGGAAACCTGACACTTGTTATACTAATATACTAACTTCGTTGCTGTGTGACAGTAAGTTCAATCACAACTCGAAAAACTGTCACTGCGAGATGGGACATGTTTCATAGCGAATTCATCATGACAAAGTGGCCCAGCCACCGAAAAAAACAAATGAGTAACCTAAAGTTAATGGCACCCATGATTATTAAAGCTGTCGCGAACAAGTTTATATTGGATCTTAAATATCCCCTGATATTAAATCTGTTTTCTATATAGATTCCGCACGAGTTTGTTTAGTCTTCTATCATCAGATGCCAGATGTAAACCAAGTATGGGTGTGTATGTGTGTTTACAATTAAGGGTTAAGCATGGGGGCTGTGGGTTAAGTGACCGGTCATTTTCGCTACATGTGAGGTCAACATTAAAAGCAATTACAAGAACCACGCTCTCAATAGCACGAAATGGTACACAGCACTTGAGTGTATCACAAACAGTTTTAAAGCAACACGGTCATACGCATATTGTTCGATGTGGGTCCCATGCAACGCACACAGCGTAAGCAAACAAGCAGGACGATTTTTTGATTACCACATGCACTGTGTTTGAGTTTAGTTATGGAATTCGATACAATAACATTCTATGGTTAACTTCCTATATTCGAAATAATAAAATCATACTTATTTTCATATTATCAAAAAACATAAGCGACCATGCGTTGAATATGAAAAATGTGAAAATAAATACCAATAATGTACATGATGAAAAACTTAATCACAATACAAGATTGCATGTAGACTGTTTAAAATTGACCAAAGTTCACATGTACTGGGGAAATTTTGATTTATGTATCTACTGTAAAATATGTTGAAAAAGCGACATGCAATTTTAGCGAATTGTGGTAAAATGACGTAATAGCGAAATATTGATTTAGCGAATCTCTCTTGTCAATGTAGATTTTCCTGTTTTCACAATACTTCTCTGTCGCCTGCCAAAACAAATGCGCAGTTATCACCTCCATAAAAACAAAGAAAAAGTGTCAAGTGTAATTAGGAAGCGCCCCATATTTTATGTTCCGGATTACTGTAAACAAAATCCACAAGCCTTGGCCATTTTGAATTTATAATAAAGTCATTAGCGACATCTTTTATTAGCGAATCAATTCTCTTGCTAAATTCGCGAAAAATACACGTTTTACAGTATATTGATTTCCGTTCCTCTTCGTCACAAAGCCCACAGTTCGGCATTGACCTACACTCTATTATGGTTATTAGAAGACTGTACACGTGTTATTCCCTACGAAACTGGTCATCAGATTCACGTGCTGCCGTGTCTTATCCTACAAATTTACTTTTGCGAGCCACGGAAGATTTAAAAAAAAATATACACAGCGCCACCAATCGAGTTGTAACTTTGGCGGCGCCATACTATACGAAGAAATTCATGAGGCAACTCATCGAGTAACGCTTCGCTGGTTCCCGGCGTCCTTTGCGAATGGCAGGTAGGACGCAGGTAACTAGTAATCGCCATATTGTTCCATTTGGGCCGGTTTTCCGGCCGGAAGGAACGCGACTGGGTGACGTAATTTGAAAACATTCCAAGTTCCGTTTTGCGTAAACGTGTCTGTAATGCTACAATAAAGCCATGCTCATACATACTGCCTGCTTAGATTTACAGATTTGATATGTTCTGTGCAAATTTATAACAAAAGAAACAATTCTTTTTATTCGCCCAACTTTCAAAAGCAAAAGGAAACCCCTGAACGGCCACGAGCGTAAGCGCTGACGTCAGGTAACTAAGGGAAATGGAACAAGCAACGAGAAAGTGATGTACCAATCAGAATGCCAGAACCGTTACTAGTTACCGGCCTCTTGTGGCTTGGTACGCCATGACACTTGAGGCGGGAACCAGCCAACGAGTAACGCCCGATCAGCACATTCATTCATGTACCTGCCTTCAGAGTTGCCTCTTGTGTATAGAATATAGTTGCATCTCTAAGATGGGTCGCTCAGCAACGTCAGTCTTTTCAGCCTCTATACACAATTCGTCGCGTTGCCGGTTGCCAACTTTTGCAAATACACAAAACAACGTTGGTGGTTGGTTTATTACCTTCGTTTAGCTTAGTTGCAATCTTCACACATTAAATTTGGGCAATCTAAACTAAGATGAATCCAACAGTGTTCACAACTGACACTTGCCGCACATTGCAGATACAGAACAATATTGTGTTTAGCCTGGAATACAGTCATTCCCAATTATTCACAGATTTTTCATTGTAGATTTTGTTTTTCTATATACTAATCTTTTTGTGTGGTCATTGGTAATGAAGTATATATATTTTTTGAAGGTGAACAACTTTGCAGTTTAAATTAAAATCAAATTAAAAAAAAAATTGTTTTAAAGAATGCAGTTCTGGGTCAATATATCAGACATATCAGTTATATGCACATGTCATTGTTTTATGCTCAGATTCAAGATTCACATTGGATTTGAATATTTTGAGAGCACAAGTATCCTTGAAGAGTCATGAGTGGATCCCATCCCTAACAGACCAGTGTCTGCACTGGTTCTGATCAAATGGGAATCCATTACTCTATTATGAGCAATGCTAACATTGAGGGAGGTAGCACAATGCCATTGAACTCGAAAGTGCCATTTGCATAGAGGGAGTGCCTAGCCATTAGTGGCACTAGAGTGTTACACCAACTAATATTCAGTACAAATAACTGATATTTCTTCTGTGTATGCATAATGATTTAAAGGTGGGAATACAAAGTAAATTTTTCCTATACCGTACTTCCTGGGATAGGCAATTACCCGGCATTCAGTTTTCAGAGTGCAAGGTTCCCTTGTAAAGGGGGTTGCATATCACAACAGTCGACCTTATGCAATCTTAGCGCAAGTGCAGAAGATAAGGATAAATCTCAATTTGGCCATCCTAAGGATGCTTTGACTCTACATGAACTGTCATGGTGCGGTTGGAGCTAACCCCATGCACTTCTGAACCCTCAGTAGGTGAACTTGTGGGTGGTGGCGAACCAGCATGAAGAGTACCACACTTCCTGTGGGGGGGTCATGCTCAAACGAATTTTACCGCAACTGGACGTCTATTACCACGAATAAATTATCCCTATCTGGAGCCAAACACCGCTACAATTAAGATTTAGTTTGCCAGCCAAACCATTGCCTAACAGTATATTTGATAAAAGAGTATTCTACAGGAAGAAAGAAATTTGTTATAGTGATAGACCACCTGCATGTACACTGCTGCACTTGCTCATACGATTTTCTAGGACATACTACACCCTGAAAGTCTCGTCTAGAAAATCTGCAAAACAATTATGATCTTGTACATTCTGTTTTGTACAAACTGGCAAAATTTGTTCTCAACTTGTACATGAAGAATGTTCCCGAGCATGGAATTTAACACACAGAAGGGTCTAGTAAGGTTGAACATACCCAGGTGTACAAATTACATGAAGAATGTTCCTGAGCATGGAATTTAACACACAGAAGGGTCTAGTAAGGTTGAACATACCCAGGTGTACAAATTACATGAAGAACAATCCTGGCATGTCTGATATATTGATCCAGAACCAATTCTTTAAATATAACAATGATATGCATCAAGGTCCCATTGCATTTTATGCATGTACATTGTTTAAATCAAATCTTTCCACACAGGAATGAGATCTGGTGACGGAATGGTGTAAATGTGCGATTTTGATGCATTATTGGCGTTAAAATGGCTGCTATTCTGTACCAAATCACAAATGAATGCATATATTGCCAATATAATGTATGGCGCACGTGTGCAGTTTAAACATCGTTCAGGCATGTCGGATATATGGATTCAGAACTGCATTTAAAAAAAAAAAGGCCACCAGTCGGTCATTTTTATGTGCATCAAGGTCCTATTATGATGAACATGTGTGCCAAGTTAGAAGAAAATTTGAACACCTCTGACAAATTCAACAATACTCTATTCAATATACAACACAGAAAACTTGTGACTTTATTGTAAACAATGAAATCTACAAAACTACATGGAGAAAGTAACTCAATTGTTTTAGTTTCTTGTAGTTTATCATTATTACATGACCAATGTTTAACTTGTGTGCATACTCATTGAATTCGACACAGTATGTCTTTCGTCATGTTCGTTATCTGCAAATCAATACAAAATGCTCGACCTGACAACTCTTGTACGAGTTGCACATTCATTCAATTTTGAGATTGCCTGTCCGTCTCAATTTAATAAATAATTTGTCATGCAATTTAAAAAACACTCAACTATGAGAAGTTGGCTGATGATTTGTTTGTGTACACCACATTGATGCAGTAATTGAAAATAATTAGAAAACCACAACAGATTGCATGCATTAACTGTCAAAGTCAAGATCACAGTAATCTGAAACTCCCCAAAAATTATTGTCTCCGTTTTGCACAGTGGTGTAAAAGTGTCTAATTTGTATAGTGCTGAAGAGTTCCAACCTATACTTACTGGTGGATTCTTTTTTTCAATTTTAGAAAAGCCTTAGATTTGAACAAAAGTTGACAGTTTATAGCCAGCAGTAAATCAGATACTGATATGTACACATGATCGCCATATAGAGATCACACATTCTAGTACTTCCTGGGGCCAAAAATTTGTATTTGCTATATTAGTGGCATAGGCATGATTAAAGCCAGACATATTTTAATAACTCTTCCAATATATGCAACATTTGGTTTTTATAAAGCAAATGTGGGAGAAAATATTAAAAAAAAAAAAAAGTACAAAATTTATGTGAAAACCTCCACCCCCAGAAGGCACAACAATGTGCAACTTTAATGCATCAGTGTAATTTCAGTTTCCCAAAATTCATTCACACAACATGCAACTATTACCAACTAGTATCAGACAACAGACAAGTTACCATGGTAATCTCTGCAGCATTTCAATTCCCTGAATTACACCATATTTATATAACTACCGGTAGGACTGATCAATTAATTGTAGTAGTAATAACGATTTGATTTGATTAGTATAATAATATATAACCTATTGAGAGGAACAATGTACACAAAAGAAAGTCTATTTCTTTAATTTATACTCTATACAATTCTTTAAATTTTGGAAAAATTCTTCAATCTACACTAATTCCTTCCCTTCATATTGTTTTGTATCATTAGATATCCTAGTATTTATTCCCAAAGCTTACGAGCGAGAACCTGATTTTGATGCTAGTGTATTTCAATAGTATCGACAATGAGACTAAAAACTGTCGATACATGACAGATTGTCATACCTGATCAACTATAACTAATATTTTTTAGAACAGATTTATTGTGAGAATGCCATCCTGCGTGATGATGAAAAACAAACCTTAAACGGAACAAGCACGGAACGTACTCCGTAGGACCATTGCATAATAATTATTTAATTTTTTTTTTTTAAATAAAAACCCATAAAAAAAATGTCCTGAAAATCATGTAGCCATAGGTCAGTTCTGTATTTCTTCTGCATCCTAAAAAAAAGCAGAATTGGGAAGAGAAAGTTTGAGAAACATGTACATGATACGTTCTTCATTCTCAATGGCTACCACACCTTTATGCGATATAGGCTAGACCAATTGGGAGAGGTGTTGCATTTAAGAATAGAAATCTCTTAAAGTCCAGCTGTGAAGAATCAACCCACAAGGTTTAACAAGCCATTCAGGGGTGAGAAGAGGTTGATAAAATTAAAAAAATTATTTATAAAGTTTGTACAAAATAATGTTAGCTAGCCAACCCATGACTACAAGAAAATTTATCAAGGCAAACCCTGCGAAATACAAATTTGAATATTTTGAGAAACATAAGACTTATTGGGCACAGGTACATGCAATAGAATTGACTTTTCGGAATTCCAAAGAAAAAAACTTGGGTCAATGATTTTCAGTGCAGGGATTTTTTTTAATGATTTCAATTTTAATACCAAAATACTGCCAAAAAAGAAACACTGCTTAGGTGAAAAAAAACTAAAAATTTTGGGGAACGGTATACTGAAACAAATAATGACAATTGCACTATCTTGTCATTTTTCTATAACATGGATGAACAACTTTATATTGAAAATTTATTAAATGGGGGTCTAGTGCAAATGTGACTCTGAAATTGAAAATTGGCAGCGAGAAATTTTTATACTTTGATATCCCCTGAGGACGGAATTTCACGATAGTCTTTGTCGTTACAAACAAAGGTACATTTTTACTCATACAAAATTTGGCTGAAAGACCACTTTGTCAGTACCCAAACCTATCCTGTGACGATGACCAAGTTCCAGATCAGTGACTTGAATGGTGGTGTTTTCGTCGTTTCCAACTTCTTCCAGACGGTGACTTGGATCTTGATCTTGATCTGGATCTGGAACTGGAATAGTTACTCCGTCTTTTCTTCTGTGAGCTGGATCTGGAATCATATGAACTAGAACGAGATCTGAAAAAGCAGGCGAAAAGCAATGGCAATACAGTTAATGTCAACTACTCAGCAAGTGCAATCTCAAGGAAGATGAGTGGTAAAAAGAAAATAGAGAATAAATCAGACCATAATACAGATTTGACACTCTTATAATTCAGTACTACTGCCAGGAGGAAACATTTTTTTGAAACATCCGACTTCATGAATTAATTAACTGTACTGTTGACTAAATATATGTAGTAATATGTATATATCATGTCAGTCATAGAACACACATTCAATATATCTGGGTTATGAGCTTCTTGTCGATAACTGAGAATTTCCAGAGTGTGGTACCATTTTAAGGCGTTATCAAATCACTGTATTTTCGATGATTTGAAAATGATATCTTAAAATTAAAATTTAATATGAACTATTTCCTCATTAAAATTAGAATTATCAGAACAATTTTTTTTCTTATTAGTCAACAACAAATTGGTCAATATATATTAGTTTCTTGAAGATTGTGAAAACCATAACTTTGAGATTTGTTTTAAAGCCATAGTTACTTAAAATTTGACAGGTTTTTATTAAACTGGTTTTCAATAAAATGTTGCTAACAATACAATGGATTTGCCAATAAATAATTGGGTATGAGCTTAACAGAAACATCAATATTTTAAATAATTATTATTTATAACACTTGAGATACTACAATTTTACACTCATTTACTGATTTTGCTATTTTGTAATCTTGGATTGTAAGTATTAATATTTGCACCGGTGGAATACATTTCCCAGATTTGAAAACACATCTCAAATAGCGACACGCATGTAAGCCAATTTTGTTTTTTCTGAAATTTTAAGTTTCACAATGATTCATTTACATTATCTTATTTTAAAAGGTTGTTTACTTCTAATATAGAAAATATGGTGTTACAATCCGAATGGGTTTATTTTATGGAGCTACAGTCTGAGAGTTTACTTCGGAAGATTCCAGGGTCATAAAATTGAATGATATGACTTGCAACCAATGATAAAAGTAAAATACAGAATATGTACAATGAGTTTGTGATAGACTGTCTGGAGTAGGTGATGCCTGCAATCAAAACCTGTATGTGTTGTGTACACACTTGTTGGTATGTAATGTGTGCATGATACATGTTATACCTTGACCTAGACCGTGATGAGCTGCTGGAACTTGTTTGAGAGGAGGATCGTGACCGTGACCGCGATGTAGATAATGAACGTGATCTAGATCGCGAAGATAGGGATCTTGAATAAGACTTTCTTTGATGTTCCTTATTATTTTCATCATCACTTGCTACATCATTCTTTGACAGCTTTTCTTCATCCTACATGAGGAATGAGAAGTAAATCATATGCATATGCAAGAAAAGTGGGGGAAATATCCTGGTACTATGTTTTTTCATGTTGGATACAAAATTATACAAGCATCTGATTTTAGAAACTTTTAGACCTGGAAAATTACTTACAATATAGTAAATGTTTCAAAATCCATCTTTATTTTATTAATTTTTATTGACAACTGTTCTTTTACTAATTTATGTCATTGAAGTTTTCGTCTCCAGAAGGCTTGACTTTTAGCTAGGGGGTATTCAAAAGCTTTTAATTTAAATAGTACTTACGTCAGAATCTGAATCTAATTTATAATTAGACAAGTCTTCATCATCTCCACTTTCCTCTGAATCTAGCTTGTAATTACTCAAGTCAGCCTCGTCTCCACTTTCCTCCTCCTCTTCTTCTTCTGCAGTATTTGTTACAGTTGGTAATACTTTGGGAATAATATTAGATATGGAACCACTTTTACGATACCCTTTCTTCCTTCTGCCAAACTAAACAAAAATTTCTATTTATCAATGTGTATGAAGCATTAGACCTAACATATTACCAAGGAAAATGTTTTTGAAACATCCAACTGAAGGAGAGTCAGGAAAATAAATCAAATGATGTGCATCAGTAAGCCACCATGAGTAGCTAACAACAAGTTTGGGAGAAACCAGACCAGGCAAACCAAAATCAAAGAAAGCTTAAAAGAACTCCCATGTGCTGAGAGTATTGGAAACACATTAAATATAATTCGAAATCACTTAGCTGAAAACTAATTATGCAAATCA